AGTCGATATGTTGACAGACCCCTGTCGTCCAAACCAGTGGTGGGCCGCGTTCTGCACCTTTCGCTTTACGACTGAGATGGTGGTTTTGGTGGTGCTGGGTTCTCTCATCATGAGGGCTAGTGCGAGGCTGGCCTCTTGAGCAGGGCCAGAGGCTAGTCCCGAATCCGAAGAACCGTCGCAACGTGGAGGCTCAAGAAGGCAGGACGGCGGCATCAGAGCGGGCGCCTGACTGCTGGCAACGTGCAACGACACCAGAGGCTTGACCGATGCCGAGCTGCTGTACAAGGCACAGAGGATTGTTTGCCGCGCGGGCATCGACGAACCAGCAGAGAGACGACTTGCCACCATCGATCCCCCTTTCCAAGACCAGGACGGCGAGGACGGAAACATGCAGATCCAAGTTGGGGAAATCGACGTTGGAAGGAAGGCCGCTGTTGGTGGGTGGCGTATCCAACCATTGGTATGAGAGGTACGGACACAGCAGACGGAGGTGTGGTACCGTGTAAGGGGGGATCAGGATCAGGATCAGCCGGCGCAACGGTCCACGACAGTAACTATAGTAGGCGACGTCTGCCGTGGGTTTCCGGGATAATGGCTGTTCAATGGTTCAAGAACAAGCGAGAGGTGCATCGCGAGACCCCAGACTCTGAGCCAGCGTTGAGAGGGTTACGTAGTTTTGTTTGAGTTTCCAGGTCTGCCGAAGCACAACATGACAGTCCGGTGTCGTCTCGATCTGGCGTATCGGCTGTGTACATGACGCCGTTCTTTTTGAGCAGGAAACGCGTCTCGGGGGTACAGAGCTTTGTTTAGACTTTTGTTGGAGAGGCGAGTGAGTGAGCCATCGCCGGTGAGAGGGAGGGGCGGAGAGGTCAGAAGGGCGGCATGGATCGCCAGGAACAAGAGACATTGTGCCTTCAGAGAGTGGACGGAGCCGAGACAGTGCGAGCAGCGAGGCTTGCGCCGATGTGTGGCCGCTGCAGGCGCAAGTGCAGCTTCCACACTTTTTTTTTTTGGTGAAGGTGGGGGGTGCTGCAATGCAAATGCAATGCAGTCAGGCACTTGCGAGTTGGAGTTGGCGGAGAGGGAGGCGCGACTGGACGACGCGACGTAGGTACCTGCAAGGTACGGATGGGTAGTTTACCTTTGGAGGCGGACGGAAGACTGGACGAATGAGCAAGGGCCAGGGTCCGACAGTTTTCTCTGGACCCCACCCAGTCAGTCAGAGCATCGCTGCGGCAGTCTTCTTTGGACGGATCGTTCACAGTGTTCACTCACAGCTGTTCAGTGTTGGAGCTCCGCAGGTCCCAGTCGTCGTCGTTTTCGGTCGGTCGTGTCGCTCTTTCCGCTAAAGTGGGTGAGGTGGCACGGTGGATGGAACGCGCTCCGTTGACAGCCGATCAATGGTTCCGTTGGCCGCGCATGACGAGTTCTGGTCGTTCCTCTCCGGCTGATCTGCTGATGTGCAGGTGCGAAGGACGGACGGGAGGTGCAAATGGCAGGCATATGGCAGAGTAGCAGCAGCAGCAGCAGCAACGACATCAGTAAGGCGTGCCTTGCCCTTGCCTAAGCGAGACGGAGACGGAAGGAGGACCAGCCCAGGAAGGCACAGGAAGGCAGAGGAAGGCAGGCAGGCACGCCAACACCGCACGGCTGGATGGTAGGATGGGATGGTCATTGGAAGGCGCGGGATGGAATGGAGTCAGAACCTGGAAGGAGGGACGATGGATTGGCCGGATAAGATCTTCTAAGATGGCAGAAGGTGCAGCAGCGTGTCACAGCCTTCCCTCCAAGTAAGGCACGCCGCACCTTACCATCCCTCACAGACCTTGCGTCTTAAGTCGGGACGAGATAACGGTCGGGATTTGGAACTTGGGATGGGATGGGGGGAGGAGGAGGGGATTGGCAGACTTTCAAACTTGGGACGACAGCAACGTGGAACTGACGGTGGACGGATGGGATGACGGGACGGAAAGCCCTTTCCCTTTCCACTGCTGACATGACACTCCGTTGGTACGGGGTAAGGTACTTGGATGGGACCTGTAGAAACAAGCCCCTGCTCAAACGGCTCCGACGAGACGGCCGCGGCTTTTGTGCATGACAAAGACCCCGGCACCCTCGATTCAAGAGGTATCCGCCTGGTATTCACTATTCAGAATTTCAGAAAACGTCAGCCCTCTCCTGTTCCCCTTGCCGTCTTCAACGTGACCTGTTCTGGAGACGACGCAGGGTATTCCGTACCCATCGCCCCCCTCCAGTGTCCCCTCCCTCCTCCCAGAGTCTGTTCAAAGTCATCCACCACCCATCATCCCTGTGTGCCTGACAGGAACCCACGGGTCCCAGCATCAATCCAAAGGTCCATGCAGCCCACCCACCAACCGCAGGCAGAGCCCCCAGTCGCATTCACAAGTCGCGCTGGACCTTCCGTCCATCGTTCCACCGTGGGCTCTTTTTCGCTCACTGACGCACGAAAGCAAGCGGGCTGTCTCTTTGGCAGCCGCGCGATGCCCCATGTGTCAGTGGCAGCGGCAGCGTCAGTCTCTGCGACCCAATGCCGTTCCTGTCGCGTCCGACTGCGAGCAGTGGATGACGGGAGCCCTTGAACTTTGAAGAGGTCCATCACCCCTCCGCTGCCGACGCCTCCACGAGGCCACTGTCGCGTCGCTGCTCGGCCGCCCCCAAAAAGAATGGGGTATTCGAGAAAGTGTACGAACCTTTTTGCGGATACCTACCAAACGCGACCCTGCCACCAGTGCCTGTGCCTGTGCCTGTCCACTAGCCACCGCTCTCGTGCCTGCGTCCGAATACCTGAAGAGACGGTGAAGGCTGGACAGGGCAGGCAGGACAGGCAGGGCAATAAGGATAGGGCAAAAGCCGAGGCGCGTCGTTGATGTACGGAGCAGGTGCGAGGGCGCGCGTTGCTCAGAATACCAGACCGACGCCTCTTTTTCATGCTCATGCTAAGCCGACGGTCCAGCATAAGGTGCTATGCAGTACACAGTCCGTTAGTCTCTCAAGCTCTGGCTTCTGCATAGTACTGCGGTAATGCCAGGTACGGACGGGAGTCTCCCCTTTCCATGAGTCTCGAGGTGCAAGGATATGCTTTCCTCCGCGTCGCTGACTTTCCACTGCCGCCGATGTTTCTGCTTCCCCCACCTTTTCTTTGGAGGATGGCTGCTGTACACCAGGAATAGCCCGGCATCAGCATCGGTCATCCTCTGCATCTGCATCTGCGGCAGGGCTCTTGGTTGGCTGGCATATCTATCTCCTATCAGTTTCTGTCGACCGAGGACCAACAGCGGTGTGTGGGTGTGTGCGAGTGGCACTTTTGACTTCTGAATTGGGGTGCTGCTGCGGCGCGGGCAGAAAAAAAGAGAGCGAGAGAGAGGCCAGTTTCAAGACTCGGAGCCACAGTGAGAGGTTGCGAGGGAAAAAAGGCACCAGAAACTAACATCGACCGGGGATGCCACTAGAGCAGGGTTGGGCTAGGTTAACGGATACGTATATGTACTGCGTATCGTTCGTCCATCGGCCGCAGGTCAGGTGCGGACGGTAGAAGTGGCTTTTGCTTGGCCAATGAGAAACGGCGCGTACCTGACGTGACCCCCGTCAACCTGTGGAAGCTCCAGCCAGTCCGCGTCGTGGCTCTTCTTACCTGCCCCATCCCTCCTGCCCTCTCGTGCTGTCCCCTCCACGTCCACGTCCCATCCCACACCTCCAGCCCACGATGCGCCTCCAAGTACCTGGCCCTGGCTCTCGGGGCTGAACAGGGCGACAGAGCAGGAAAAAGTACTTACGTGTACATGCCGTGGCTGCATGTTCCACTGGCCACTGCTGAGCCGCCGCTGCACAACTCGTCCGTCCCATCCACCCACAGTGCATCCATCCACCCATCCCATCCATCCCTCCCCATCCCTCCCCATCCCTCGCCCACCAGGCACAGGCACAAGTACGCAGTGCAGACAAGGGTATCGCATCTCCCCCGTCCCAGTCGGGCCCATCCCCGTCGAGGTCGTCCACGACCTTACCTCCAGTGTCTTCCCAACTGTGTGAACTCCACACTCGCACACTCTCACACGCCCCCCTCCGACCCTCGTCCACACCACTCACGCACACGCCTCACTCCTCTTCCTGGGGCTCCTGGCTGGCCTCCTCTTTCGCCCGCCCGCTCTCGTTGGACTGGCTCGCTCCTTAGTAGCCCTGACCCCAGGCCCTGGGACGTGGACGGGACTGGACTGGACTGGCCTCTCTGTGAACCGGCGCCTGCGCCTGTGCCTGACTGAGGAGACCTCTCTGCGCGCTCTCTCTCGACTCCCTCCTAGCCCAGAGAGGAGCCTCTGGCCTCTCGACAGGGTGGGCTGCCACCGGTTCATTCGTTCGTTCGTTCGTCTGTTCCCTTTTTTTTTCTGGGCCCGCCGCCTCGCCCGTCCATGTCTTTTCCTTTTTCTCCTCTCTTGCCCCCATCCCTACTTCTTCTCATCATCTCCTCATCGTCATCCTCGTCGTTCACGACAATCCCTTCCTCTCTTCCTCTTTTTCCCCCACTCCTTTTTCCCTTTCACAGTCACTCTCTTGAATAATTCAACCATAAACTACTTCTCTGAATCCCGTCACTCCTTTCCGGGTATTCCATTACGTTCCTTAAGTCTGGTTGAATTTCGACATTCGTTCGTACCGAACCGACACTATTCACACATCCCAAATCTCCTGATCCCCCTGCTGGATTCTGGACCACGCTCCTTAGCAACCTTGCCTTAAAGCTCCTTCTTTACCTTCCCTAGCCTCACAGCAAACATCCTTCATACCTATTACCTACCATCAAAGAGGAACCCGTCTACACGACACCATACATCCCGATCACTCCGTGGACGCGACTTACACCGAGATCTCCTGACCCTCGAGCTTCCGTCCCTTGATCACAATCGCACCACACCACAGCGATACTACCTCGCCTTTGCTCCTTTATACCGATCGATATCACCGATTAGAAAACAAAGAAAGCCATGGCTACTGAGGTGGAAAACCCGGTGGCTCTTGCCCCCAGCGCCGCGACGCCCGGCTCGACCACCGCCCATGAGTCCATTCAGACTCCCGGTTCCGCCAACAGGAACTCAACTCCCTCCCCGACTTCCGCCAATGGCCAGGCGCCCTCTTCGCAATCAAGGCGTCCGCCTCGCAAGAGCACCCTCACCCAGCAGCAGAAGAACCAGAAGAGACAACGTGCTACCCAAGATCAACTCACAACCCTCGAGCTGGAATTCAACAAGAACCCCACTCCCACGGCCACTGTCCGTGAGCGCATAGCGGAGGAAATCAACATGACCGAAAGGTCTGTCCAGATCTGGTTCCAGAACAGGTGAGATATTCCGACCCCTGAAGTCGCGTCCCTTGGAATCGTGGCTGACCCCTGGAAAGACGTGCCAAGATCAAGCTTTTGGCCAAGAAGAGTCTCGAGACTGGTGAAGACATCGACTCCATTCCCGAATCCATGCGTGCCTACCTCGCCATGCAGGCGATGGAATCCGGCAAGGGACTGGGCGGTCCTTTTCTCGGCCGCACCGGACTCTTGCCCTATGGACACAACAGCATGCTCCTCGGTGGCGACCAGAGCGGCCAGGGCAAAGTTTGTAAGTACTTCCGAAACGTAAGTCAAGCTTAACTAAACTAACCAGCTTCAGTGATCCATCACTTGACCTGTCGTTCTCTCAGCATCGGCAAGTGGACTCGCGTTGGACAGAACACGATGGATCTCATCATCTTCTACTCCCCTGACAAGTGCACCATGACCTACTACATCAACAACGAGCAGGCTGGTTACAAGATCGAGTACCCCTTCGCCTACATCAAGAACATCTTCCTCGAGAACCAGGAGGGCGACCCGAACAAGCCCGGCGGCATTGTCATCGAGCTTAACCGCCCTCCCAACTTCTTCATGGACTCTTCTCCCCAGACGAGCGGCTTCTTCCAGTGCGGCGACTTCACTGAGGACCAGCAGGCGTCCCAGTGCCTTGTTCACCACCTTGGCGGCAACCCCAAGGTTCTGAGCGGTCAGCTGGCGAAGCTCGTCTCCCTGGAGGCATTCATGAACCGCAACAACCCTCACCCCTTCATTGACCAGCAGCACGCTCTTTCCGTGTCCGCCCCCGTGTCGCCCACCGGTCGCCCTTCTTCGCAGCCCAACTTTGCTCAGCCTCACATCGGTATGTTCCAGGAGACCTGGGGCATCAACAACATGCACCCTGGCATGCGCGGTCCTGGCCACAAGAGACAGCGTAGTCGTTCCGTGCCCATGGCCGTCGACTTCTCCATGCTCCAGACGCCCATGCCCTCCTTCTACATCCAGCAGCCTGGCGAGATGCAGGCTCCTCAGACTCCCGGCCCTTACCTCCACGCTCCTGTTCCTCAGCAGCCTGGTGGCCTCGGCCCCAACCTGAGAATCGACACCCAAGCCGGCTTCGGACTGGATATGCGTCAGTACCCCATGTCGGCCACGACCGCTTCTCCGTCCGAGTTCCCCACGAGCCCTGCGTTCTTCTCTCAGCCCCCTGAGCCGAGCCCCCTCCCGACCTCCAGCTACAACACTCCCTACGGAAGTGCGTTCCTGTCGCCGATGGCCAACCCATCAAACAACATGATCCCGCCTTCCGTCTCCCCTCTGTCATTCGGCAGCCACCACGAGCCCTCCATCGTTGAGCAATCGCCTCCTTTGTCCATGCTCGGCAGACCCGCCTCAGCCGACATCTACACCCAGGGCGACAGCGGGTCCTGCGCCGTTTCTGACGACGGCACTGGCCTGAACGAGATGTACTCGAAGCACACCATCAACTTACCGATGCACCCTCATTCTCCTGCGTTTGTCGAGCAAGGTCAGGCCGATCTCGACATGAACCAGCTGGTGCAATTCGACAACGTTGACCCCAGCTCATTGTCACCCGAGTCCATGTCCCATGTGCCTCATCAGTGAGCGCCTTTGACTCAGGCCTGCAGTGCCTGAAGTCAATTGGCGTTTGGGATTATTCCGGACAGGACATGGCGTACATAATACAGGCTCCGGCGTGCTTCGAAAACCTTTGGGAGGAGAGCGGAGTTGCTTTGCTTTGATTATTCACAGCTGGCGTTGAGGCGCTCGATATATACCAGATGGGTTGCGCTTGGTCTACTTTCGACACACCGATGAATACGATGCTTGATTTAGTTCTTGCTCTACTTTCATCCATCGGCCACGACGAATCTGCATGACGATACCTCCATTCGTATCTCGATCATGCGTGTCCGGCACAAGCGATCGTACACTTGCACTTTCTTGGAAATCTACTTCTACCATTTTTCGAGTCATTTATTGTCGCGAACAAACTCATTTTTTGTTGCGAAGGGGGTAATCTTCCGATTTTCCTACCTCGTCATCACAACCGTGCTTCGCCGTATCGGTCCGCGCAGAGACCCGACGATACGGCACCTAATAATCCTTTCCCCTTCAAATCTTTGGTTGGCTTGCGCTGCACATTTTGTTTATTTTAACTCGATTTCTTCTGTCATCGTTCATGAGTCAAAGATGTCTTGGCCGCAGGTCTGGAGATGAAAATGGGGGAAAAGCCCAGGTGGCTTGGGATTTTTCCTGGTTCTTAATCAGTCACAAACCGAAATTTTCTTGCGCAAAGATATACACAACTCCGACACAACAACTTTTTTGGTCTACCTCCTCTTGTGGGTATTTTTTATTGGTTTGATGGGAATCGTGGGGGAGCAGGGGAAATCTTGGTGGCTTTTGTGCGTTGGATGCCGGGTTACAACGTTTGGGGGCGGTTTAATGGGAAAGAAACCGCGCCGCGCTGTATGGCTTCGGCAGCGAGAGGCTGGGGCCGGCCGTTGCTCGAAAGAGGCGGTTCGGCCTTGTAAGTAAATGACGATAGAGAGTCGAGAGTTGAGAGAGACAAAGAGAGAGAGGGCGTCAAATGCCTGTTTTCCCACTATTACAAGACTTGCAAGTTCCCATTCGGTCTAGACTGTGTCACTGTATCTGTAAAGTTGGGTGATTTGCAAAACTAGCGATTTTGACGTCTCCACGGCCGGCGGCCAGGTTGCTTGCCTGCGCCGCCTCATCGTCATGGGTGTGGAGGCTGAACCGATGTGACGTGCATGGTGAGAAGACGATCCCGATGTTTTCTGGAAAATGATGTTACCGGCGCCTACCGAAGCGTCGTTTCCTTTTTTTCTGGGTATCTGCTGGCTGCTCTGGGGGATCTGCTGGGAGGGATTATGTATCGGATGGGTACTGCTTTTGCTTTTTGGGCGAAACGGCGTCGTGATGCGAGATTGCAGAGTCGGATCGTGAGCCGGTGGGCGAGGCGAGGCGAGGCTCTGCCACTTCTGGGGTTTTGCTGTGGGCGCTTTTGGCAGTGGACGGGGCTAGGTAGGCTAGGTAGCCTAGACCAGGCTGGGCCACGAGTACGTATAGAGAACCAGACTTGTTGGTTTCTTGGATTCTGTACCGGCCGGGTGAGTGAGTGATGGCAGACGGATATGAGACTTTCTGTTTTTAGACGGCTTTTTGGTGAGAGCCACGTGGAACATGCATGGGGGCCGGGTAGGATTACGTGCGGGATCAATGAGTATTTGGAGATGTGAATGCTATGTACTCCTCGTTTTTGTGACGAGGCTGAGCTTGGATAAGGAAGTACGAAGAAGTGCCGATGAGTGGTGAAGTAGTGATAGTAGACGTTGCATGTTACACGAGAGACACGAGGGACGGGGCGCAGCCGCGCAAGTGCTGACGGGCAATGCTACCTGCGCGTAAGCTGGCTGTTGAATCACTCTGTGCTGCTGGTGCATCTGTTGGCCTTTCGCCTTGAGTATTACCGCCGGCTTTGCTTGAGTTACCGTGTCAGAATACGTCTGCCTAAGTTAGGAGGTGGTAGTATCAAGTAATCCCTCACAGACCTACGCAGGTCAGGTTAGGTTGGATGAGTAAAGATGCCATTGTATCCGTAGGAGGAATCTATGGCTCGGGGAAATCAAATCCCACTTGCTGTCGGCGTTGCATTAAGCAAGCGCTAAAAGGGGTAAAAAGCATCTACTGTCGTGCCGTCCTGCGGCCCCCTTCATGTCTGCCTGTGTCTAGCATGAAGTTCTCGATGTCGAAGTCGACGTCCTAAAAGTGTGTGGCGTTGGACAAGCTCGAGACGGTGTCAAAGCCGCGGGGGGCCGAGCCGGGGAAACGGGGGAAGGGGGCGCGAGGTGGCGATGGGTGGTGGCCCACTAACACGAGGTCTGAGGGCGCTCTCTTTCGACCTTACTCGATCACAGGAACGGTGTATTTGTGTATTTTATTCCAAGGGGATTTGTTGGGGGCCGATGATGACTGGGTTTCTAGGCGTAGGGGTGTTCGTACGTTACTGGGCATATTTTGGGAGTGGGATCAAAGTCCGAGGTGCGGAACTGAAGACGGCATTGTGCGGTGAGGACGGCAGATAGGCCAATTCTCCGTGCCGTGCCCACACTTGGGAACCGGAACGTACGGGAGTTGTGAGTCGTGTCCTGTGCCTTTTCCTTGCATGCCGTACAGAGTGCGTCTGTTAAAAAGAGAAAACGTACTCCGTACCCGCCTGAAGAAGATGATCTGGAAATGAGACGGAACGCGGATGTGTACAATGTGCAATGCGGATGGATCCCGTCCTCTTGGTGCGCGCGGGCGAAGTTTCCCTCGCCGTCTTTCTTTTTGGTATTAGAGTTTGGGCCATCCCATCTTTTTGCGTGTGGTAGGGAATGCCCTGCGAGAATGGAGGCTGGCCACGTTCGTCCCAAGGAGAGTGCGCCCATAATAATTGATTAAATACTTAGAGCACGCGCCCACAGATGGGCTGTCGTCTTCTAGCGGGCGGGATGCAGGACGGTTTGGCGCCTTTTCCAATGAGGCGGTCTGTATCCTCGAAATAAGTCTTCCTGCGACCTCGATGGAGTCAATGCTAAAAGAGACAAGATGCCGTGTTTGCTGGCGTTTCGATGGCGGGTCGAAACATGACCCAAGAAAGTGTGCTGAGCCAAGACAATGTGCGTCTAATGAATGAGTGGGTGATGTTGGCGGGTTCGATGGTGTTCTTCTTGGGGGCGAGTCCAAGGGTACAATGCCATTGACAGCTGGGACAGTGGACGGGTGCCGCGGGCGTTCAAGTACCGCGTCGTGGCACCTGCGTTTTTTTCGGGCGTCTTGTCCTCTTTCTGCAGGCAGTTTGCAGTTGGCACTTGCCCTTTTCCTTCACCAATGACGTCGGGCCCTCTGGTTTTGCGGGGGCAGACCGAAGAAAGTGTGCTGCCACCAGCTCGAAAAAAGGCAAGGCTCCCCCCCCTTCCTGTTGTTGGGTCTTTCCCCGGTGTGTCTCTCTCCTGCTCGCTTCCACCCTACCGTACCTTAGCAAGGCTTCCTTCCGTGGGACTTCAGACCAACCAACCAATCCATCATCGAAGAGGTCCTCCTCCTTCGTCCATCCATCAGCATCAGCAGTGCAATCAATGTCTTGGTATTCCCGTCGGGCAATGGTGGCAGTGGCAGTGCAGAAACGTGCCAAGACGCGCCAGAGACACGCTCTCTCCCTGACCTCATGATTGGGGGGGCCCTCCAGGTCGATGCCGACGCCATCCACGAGTGGTCTCCACGGCCACTTACTGGCCCCCGTCGTGACTTTTCGCCAAGACGACTCCAAGAGCGAACGCCGCTCCTACTGTTGCGCGTTGCTGGCGGCGCAGCTGCTGTACGCGGCAACCTTCTTTGCGCTTCTTAGGAAACAACTTGTGTGTTTCGCCTGTCTTATGGCTGTCGTGTGTCTTGTCTGTATCTGCTCGCGTATCTCACTCTCTGCTGCCATCTTTCCGCCCAGATCAGATCGACGCAAGGCTCTGTCCATTTGTCGGGTTGGCGGAGTCGCTCTTCTTTCCCGCCCGGCGCTTCCTTCGACGTCCGTCCTTTTTGGGAATCCAACGCCGCCCGACTTCTTGTGACCAATTTTCTCTCGACTTCTCCCTTTCTCATCTCCTTTTCGCACTTGTTTTTCACGTATTCATTCCAGCATTACCACGGGTGTTCCATGCACTATTCGCCTTGTATCGTTAACCCCGGCGTCACCTAATCGCTGGGCCGAAAAACTTCAGTTCCCTTCCGCCAGCACCCGTGACGTCGAAATCGCTGATCTGACATCTCTTTGACGCCCACCGCGACGGTTTCAGCCCTGCGAACCCAGCATTTCAATCTGTATCCGTATCCCCGGCTGCTTGCACTGACCACGACATTGGCGTTCCCTCGCGTCGCAGCTCGAAGCCACGCCAGATTTAGCAAGGAACGCGCCACAATCCTGGGTCGAGACCAATGAAGACTACCACGCGCGAGCCACTGTGGTGAATCCGGCCCGCCAGCAAGGGGAACCGTCTGGAACAAGCGTCATTCTGCCGTCTGTCTAGTCGTCAAGCTAGCTGTTCTTGCTAGCCTCTCTGCGACTAACCCCGTCTGCGCCAGGCACTTTCCATCTGCAGCGTCTGCGGTTTTGGAGGAGAAATCTGGGCCTGGACTGGCCAACACAGCCTAGACAGAAACCGACCAAGCCTCGCCCCTTCAAGAATGGATAGCTGGGCCCCGGGTGACGCCTCTTCCTCTGCTGCTCCCCAGCATGAAGACCCCGACGACCCCGCCTCGAGTCCTCATCTGCCGTCCGCAACGTCTGCAGCAACCTTCGACACTGCTGATGACATCCCGGCGCCCTCAGCGAGTCCCGCGCCAACTCGCGCTGCTCAGAGAATACAGCCGAGACGAGCCATCACCGATCCCATGGGCAGTAAGGGCACCCTCGACGGCGGCCACGTCCGCTTCTCGGATGATGTGCCGCGTGAATCCATGCGTAGCTTCGACCCGGCGGACTCGCATCCCAATCCAAGCAGTCGTCATGGTCTTTACACGATCCCGTCAAGAGGAGACTTGGAAAGCCACATCTTGCCAGAGCCGTCGACGTCGCGCGCCCACCCGAGCAGTGACCAGAGCTCTGTGCAACATTCAGAAGAGCTCAAGTATCCCATTTATCGACCAGAGCCAGGGAAGCGCGCAAAGTGGCTTGTTGCGAAGGAGACGCTGCCTGAGCAGCTGAAGAAGGCGTACAATGTGTATGTCGTGCAGGGCTTGTTGCGCCAGAAGCCGCTTCCACCGAGCGCAGATGGCAGGCATGTTCCTCTGAACACGGCGAGAAAACGAGACGAGGCTCTCATCGATGAGCGCACTAGGAAACCGTACATCAGCAACTTCATTCGATCCAGTCGCTACACGATATTGAGCTTCTTGCCGAAGCAGCTTTTTTCACAGTTTAGCAAGATGGGCAACTTCTACTTCCTGGTCGTCGGTATTATTCAAGCAATCCCCGGCTTGAGCACCACTGGACGATGGACAACGATAGGGCCCCTTCTCGCCTTTGTTTCCCTGTCGATGGCGAAAGAGGGCTATGACGACTACCGGCGATATCTGCTTGCAAAGACTGAAAATTTGAGTCGAACGCTGGTTCTGGGAGAAAGATCTAAGAAAGCAACTGCCAGCATGAAGAGGCACAGCGAGGCAGAGGATGCAGAGGCGTCGCTCAAAAAGAACTCGGATAATGGTTGGACTGAAACCGAATGGCAGGATCTCAAGGTCGGCGATGTCATCAAGCTCGGACGAGACGATGATGTTCCTGCTGACATTGTGCTGTTGAGCGCGTCCGGGCCCAACAGCACGGCATACATCGAAACGATGGCTTTGGACGGAGAGACAAATCTCAAGGCGAAAAGAGCGTCTCCACTTCTTGCAGAGAGCTGTTCAACTGTGGAAGGGATCGAGTCATGTGAGGCCATGCTTGTTTCCGAGGACCCCAACCTCGACCTTTACAGATATGATGGTCGCGTGACCGTCAAAGAGGAGACGCTGCCTCTGTCGCTGGACAACGTCATCTACCGTGGATCGACTGTGCGTAACACGACCGAGGCGATTGGGCTCGTCATCAATTCCGGCGAAGAGTGCAAAATCAGAATGAACGCCCACAAGCATGTTCGAACCAAGGCGCCAGCAATGCAGCGAGTACTGAACAGAATCGTGATTTGGCTCATTTTTGTGCTTCTCTGCCTGAGTAGCGGTCTTACTCTTGGCTACAGCCTCTGGAAAGACGAGACGGAAAGGAAATCGTGGTATTTCCATGGAGACACGTTGACGCTTAGGAAGATCTTCATTGCCTATGTTCTCATGTTTAACACACTGATTCCACTATCACTCTACATCAGCTTGGAGATCATCAAGATCATCCAATTCTACATGATGGGAGATGTCGAGATGTACGACCCCGTTACCAACACACCAATGGTTGCGAATACGACGACGATTCTCGAGGATCTTGGTCAAGTAAATTACGTCTTCTCAGACAAGACCGGTACCTTGACAGAAAACATCATGCGTTTCCGCAAAATGAGTGTCGCTGGCACCGCCTGGTTGCACGACATGGATATCGAGAGAGACGAGCAGGCCAAGCAAAAGTTGATCGAGTCGGCTCGCAAGAAGCGAAAAGGCAAGGGCAAAGACAGGAAGAAGGCCGTCGATCAACCCGACGACGGCGCGTCGCAGCCCTTATCAGCTAGAGGCCGGCCCTCCGTCAGCTCATTTGCGCGCGGGAGATCTATCAGCAGGGCTCCAGAGGCAGATCCTGAGCTCAAGACTGAGGATCTGCTGGAGTACTTACGACGAAAGCCAGACACTGCTTTTTCGAAAAAGGCAAAGCAGTTCCTTCTTTGCATCGCCCTCTGCCACACTTGTCTCCCCGAGACCTCGGACAACGGCGAAATCGAGTACCAGGCTGCTTCTCCAGACGAGCTCGCGCTTGTAGAAGCTGCGCGCGACCTGGGGTACATCGTCATTGATCGGCCGGCGCAGTCGATTCATCTCCAATTGCCAGATGCCAATGGGTCGATTGTCAAAGAGACGTACCAGGTTCTCGACGTGATTGAGTTCAGCAGTCAGCGAAAGAGGATGTCAATCATCATCCGCATGCCAGATGGCAGAGTCTGCGTGTTCTGCAAAGGCGCCGATAACGTCATTTTGCCTCGTCTAAAGCTGAGCGGGCTAGCCAGTCAAAAGGCGGATGCCGTGCAGCGGAGAGCCTCGATCCGAAGGAGTGTTGAGAAGGAAAAGGCTCACCAGCGCATGAGCAATGGCGGTACGCCCCGCAGCAGCATGATGCTTGCACGAACGTCCGTGTCGGGTCGTCGCAGTCTAGCGATGAGGCGTGAAAGTCTGAGAAACTCTGGAGATTTACACCGACGAGGAAGCGCCGTTACTGACGACACCGAAATGTGGTCTCCGCAAAGAGTTTCACACGATGTCCTGTCGCCGATGAGTCCTCAGGAAATTTGGCCCTCTCCACGGCCCAGCATGGCCATGAGCGAAAGTGAGATTGATGAGTTCATTGATGAGTCAGTCGCGCTTAATGAGGGCGCAGTCTTTGAGAGGTGTTTCCAACATATGAACGACTTCGCATCGGATGGTCTGCGAACTCTGCTCTACGGATACCGTTACATCCCAGAAGACGATTACATCTCGTGGAAGAAGCTCTACCAGGATGCTACAACTAGCCTAGACAACAGGCAAGAGAAGATTGAAGCCGCTGGTGAGCTGATTGAAGACAAATTCGATCTCGCTGGTGCAACAGCCATCGAAGATCGCCTGCAAGAAGGTGTACCCGAAACCATAGAAAAGCTTCGTCGAGCCGAGATCAAAGTCTGGATGCTCACTGGAGACAAGCGAGAGACCGCCATCAACATCGGACACTCCGCCGGTCTCTGCAAGCCCTTCTCAGAAGTCTTCATCCTGGACGCTTCAATGGACAATCTCCAGGACTCCATCCTATCCACTCTCGGTGAGGTCTCTAGAGGTATGCTTCCTCACACGGTCGTGGTTGTCGACGGTCAGACCTTGGGCACCATCGAGGACGATGAGGACCTGGGTTTCCTGTTTTTCGACCTAGCGGTCAGAGTTGATTCCGTCATTTGCTGCCGTGCCTCCCCATCTCAGAAAGCTTCCCTTGTCAAGCGTATTCGCCGACAAGTACCACATTCTCTGACCTTGGCTATTGGAGACGGCGCAAACGACATCGGTATGATCCAAGCCTCCCATGTCGGCATCGGTATTTCTGGCCGCGAGGGTCTGCAGGCCGCCCGCATCTCAGACTACGCCATCGCTCAATTCCGTTTCTTGCAACGCCTTCTTTTCGTCCACGGTCGTTGGAACTATCTGCGAACTGGCAAATACATACTGGCCACCTTTTGGAAGGAGATAGTGTTTTTCCTCCCACAAGCCTACTTCCAACGTTACAACGGACACAGTGGAACCTCTTTGTACGAACCTACGAGCTTGGCAGTGTTCAATACGCTTTTTACTTCCCTCGCAGTCATCCTTCTGGGTGGTTTAGAAAAGGATTTGCAAGCGAAGACGCTTCTGGAGTATCCTGAGCTTTACACCTACGGCCATAGAAACAGCGCCTTCAACGTCAGGCTTTACATCGGATGGACGATCATGGGCTTGATTGAATCCGCAATCATCTACTGGGTGATGTTTGCGGTGTACGAAAAGTTGCCTTTCGATCTGAACACCGGCCTCTACGCCATGGGAACTGTACCGTTCACCGTCTGCGTAGTGTTCATCAACATCAAGCTGCTGTAAGTATTGACCCTATATCCAGGGGTGTACTCATGCTAATTAGTAAAGGATCCTTGAAATGGAGAACAAGACCCTGATAATTCTGGCTGGCTTTCTGCTCTCGGTTGGCGGCTGGTTTCTGTGGTGTATCCTCTTGTCCGTTATCTACAAAGGTCGGACTGGGATTTACTTTTTGCACAGAGAATTTCTCGACAACTTCGGCAATACGCTCAACTTCTGGGCGGTGCTCTTCATCATCCTTTCAGCAGTCATCGTGTTTGAATTGCTTTTCAATGCTATACGACGCGTCTACTTTCCACAAGATGTGGACTTCATGCAGCGCCTTGAGAGGGATGGTAGGAAAGGGAAAGGTGGGGTGGAAACAGAGGATGAAGCAACAATTCTGGAAGCCATCGGGCACAAGCATGCCTCGGGCGATGGCCAGGGCGGCCACACCAACACAGAAGGTGTGCCTAGGAAGAGCCACCACTCTGGCCGGCCATCACATCACACGATCCGCATGTCGCGCAAGTCAAGAGACGAGACCGCAGCACGGGCTTTCACACCCCCTATTGAAGAAACTAGCGGTAGTTTGGAGCAGGTGGCAAGTGGATCTAGGCAGTCGAAAAAAACAGTGCTCTCTGTTGCGACAAAGTGGCTAGGTAACACAAAAGGCGGTCGTTCTGCTAGCCCCATTGAGCTGCGGTCAACCGGGCATAAGCAAGCATGAAAGACGAAGGGGCGCTCAGGACAACAATAGCATTATGTCTTTCATGACAAAAGGATCAGGTTACAGCATAGTGTTACCGGCATGGAGCAGGTGGTGCATACGATGAAGGGGCCCGTCTCTGGAAAGCCAACACCAATGGCCTGGAACAGTCCTTTTCACATTTTGATACCACAAACATGTTGACTAGAAGTCAGCATACGGCGTTTGAGCATCATTTTTCAGGCATACAATAAACAGTAGAAACATTACTGATTCAAGAATTCTGGATGCTCCATTTTGTGACAGTTGACGAAATGCTTGTAGAGCTACCCAGTAAATTATGGATTAGGACAATAACGAAAAGAGTATGTACATGATCCTGGGTCTCGTGTGAAGTTCTATCCGTATCCAGCCATGCTCATGAATCCGATCCTCGTCAGTCATGAGTGCTGGTGGCGCAAGGTTGGGGCGTCAGTGGGATATCAAGTAGGGAAGGGGAGTATCTAGTTTTCCTCCCTCTTCTCCTCCTCAGACTTGTCCTCAGACTTGCTCTCCTCCTGCTTCTTGTCTTCGTCGTCCTTCTTCTCATCCTTAGGCTCTTCGGACTTCTTGTCCTCCTTGGACTCATCCTTCTTTTCGTCCTTGGACTCCTCGGCCTTGTCGTCAGACTTGTCCTCGGACTTGGACTCCTGCTTAGGCTGCTCGTCGGCCTTTTCGTCCTTCTTCTCCTCGGTCTTCTCCTCCTTGGGTTCCTCGGACTTCTCCTCGGGCTTGGACTCCTCGACCTCCTCCTTGGCGGGTGCCTCCTCGTGCTTCTCCTTGTGGGTGGCTTCGTGGCCGTGGCCGTGAGCGTCGGACTTCTTCTCGCCCCAGGGGAGGATTACGGCGAGACCGGCGACGGTAATGAGTGCTGAGCCGAGGGCGCTGGGTGGGACATTGTCAGCGATCGTTCAGTCAGAGGCATGAGCATTGGAGTTGCCGAGCGGTAGGAAGCCCGTCCGAACTCCAATTGGCCAATGAACTTACAGAGGGAGCTCGCTCTGGGGCTTCGCGGCGCCATGCTGGCTCGCGTAGGTCCTCTGCGCGAACTGAGGGCGGAACTGGGGACGGATTGTCCGGCGCGCCGAAAGTCGGAGGGCGGAACGGAGGGAAGCGGCTCTGGAGAAAGACATTGTTGGCTTTTTTTGTTTTCTTGTAATTGAATGACAAAATTAATATAAAGACACAGTATAGTACAGAGGAGCGTTTGAGCAACCCAATTGAGTCGTTTTTCTCTTCAGACGTGGCTTTTTCGTGAAGTACCGGAGAGAGGGAAGGGGAAAAAAAGGATCTCGGGTGGCTTAGGAAAAAAAAGAAACACCAAGAATCCAAGGGGTGATTCGGCAAAGGTACCTGCTGTGCTACAAACGGAAGTGTTTCCCACTTCACAGGCTGCCCGGCTGCCGTCCGAAGTTTAGAGCTCGGAGCTGCGAGCTGCAGAGCAGCCAAAAGCACTGGCGCCAACAGCTGGGGGTGGAACCGGGAACGAGCTTCTACGGGGGCCTGTAGCAGAAAAGGCCCTTCATTGGCTGGCGAAAGAGCTGGATGGTTCCAGCGTGCCGGGGCGAATGGCTCCCCGCAGCTTCTGTGGTGACGACATTGCTGGGCCTGCACAGACTGTTTCCCGATGGAATGCGATGTTCTGGCTGTCTGGACTTATGTAATCTCGGCAATGGATTTAGCTTTAGTCCGAGGATCTCGAATTGAAGGCACTGGACCTATCCCCTCGCACGGCCACTGAGTGGAGGCAACTGCGGGCAGTCACAAAGGGTGGGGGTCCACTTTCGCGGGGCAAGACCTGGAACGTCCTGGGAGCAGCACCTCTTAGGTCCCCGACAACGCCTTCCTGCCTAGAGCTGCCAACCCCACCAACAACCTACCTCTCTTCACGAGGGTCTCTTGTTGTCGTTTATCATAAAACACAACAAACCAATCTCTCTACGGCATCATCTTCTAGTCTATTTCCAACCTATTGCAGACTACGCGGGCCGGTCACTCTTTCCCTACTCTCTGCATGGTCAGAGCCACCGCTTCCCGCTAACACGCCATCTGCCGCCTCTCAACCTCTCCGTCTTCCTTAACCCATTTTTCCCCCGATCAAAGCATCAATCAACCCGTCAAGATGGCTTCCTCGAGCGTGCCCGCGAACCCGACGCCTCAGACCGTGATTGGTCTCGTCCAGAAGCTCGGCGACGCTGACCCGGACTTCCGCTTCATGTCCCTCAACGATCTGCTCCAGGTCCTCGCAAACGGAAAGCCCGACTTCCTCCACCATGACTATAACGTAGCCGCGCGCACAGTCGACAGTATCATCAAGACCCTGGACGACCAGAATGGAGAGGTGCAAAACTTGGCCATCAAGTGGTGCGTGAATCCCTCCTGCCCCCTTCTGAACCGCAAGAAGCACTCGCTAACAGATGGGTAACCAACAGCCTCGGCCCCCTCGTCACAAAAGTACCGACCCCGATCATCGCGCCCATGATCGAGAAGCTTTCGGCGATAAAGCTTAAGAACTCCGTCGACAACGCCGTCCCGTCCCTCGCGCTGCGCGCCGTCATCATGGCCCTGCCGAAACCCACACCCGGCCTGCCCCCGTCCAAAGAGGTCCAGGAGTCCTACGTCGCCGTGAGCCGGGTGCTGATCCCGCGTTTGCTGGGTCCCGGAGGCAAGGTCCAGGCGCAGTCTGGCACCAATAACATCCAGCTCCCGCCTGTGCCGCCGGGCCTGTTGAAGGTCGACAAGAACCTCAGCGCGGAATCAGTCGACATTCTCATCGAGGTCGTCAGGTGTTTTGGAGTCATGCTCTCCCCGCTTGAGGTTGAGGCGATGCAGGACGCGGTCATCAGCTTGCTGGAGAATGACAAGACATCTTCTGTCGTTAAGAAGAGGGCCGTCGTGGCGATTTCTATCCTGGCGGTCCACCTGTCGGACGACCTGCTGAACCAGATGGTCACGCGCATGGCTAACAACCTAGGCAAGCGTGATATCCCCGCGGTTACGCGCCGTCTCTACATCTCCATTACCGGCTCTATGGCGAGGTCGATCCCCGCACGATTCGGCACATATCTGAGCACCCTTGTGCCTTTCATCATGCAAGCTCTTAGCGAAGGCGAGCTGGAGCAGCACTTGGAGGAGATTAGCGACGGAGACGACGTCGGTCTGGACTTTAACGAGGTTCGCGAGTCTGCTTTGGTGGCACTGGAGGCTTTCCTCGCAGCATGCCCAACAGAAATGCGCCCCTTTACCGAAGACACTATCAAGGCGTGTCTCCGATATCTCAAGTACGACCCCAATAACGCTCAGATGGATGACGACGAGGACATGGAGGTCGATGAGGAGGAGGAAGAGGAAGACGCCGACGATGAGTTTGATGACGATGCCGGCTTTGATGACGATGACGACGCGAGCTGGAAGGTCCGTCGTTGCGCCGCAAAGGCTCTATACACTCTCATCTCGACCCGCGGAAGCGGCGATTTGCTCGAAAATGGCGTCCTTTACAGCCAGGCCGGCCCTACTCTCGTCAAGAGATTTGACGAGAGAGAAGAGAATGTTCGTCTGGAGGTCATCTCCTGTCTGTCCCTCCTCGTTCGCAAGACCGGCGAGGGCATCTATCCCACCGATTTGTCACTCGACGACCAAGAGCAAGAGGCCCCGAGCCTGATCCCTGTCAGCCGGAAGCGTAGGCGCCAGAGCAGCGGCGGTGGTTCCATGGCTGCTCATGTTGCGACTGGTCTCACATCACCCACTCTCGAGCGAATTCCTTCGACCGGCCCTCGCGCCGACTTGGCTCGCTTCACCCCTACGATCGTAAAGGCGTCCACAAAGTTGCTCAAGGGCAAGGTTATTCCCACTAAGCAGGCCATCATTAACCTCCTTGACGACATAATTACGGTGCAGCGCGGAGGTCTGTCTGACTACTTCAACGATGCCATTGGCCCCATCATCGAATCGATCAAGCCTACCGGAGCCTCTGCTCTCGCTTCCTCCTTGGCCGCTTCTGGTGGTAACGCGTCTGCCACTCCCAGCACACTACGTGTTGCGGCCCTGAAGCTTACCAGCGACATTGCCAAGACTCACTCTTCAAGTCTACTCCAGCCTTACCTGACCAAGATCGTTGCTGGTGTGGTGGCGGCCGCCAATGACCGCTTTTACAAGATTTCCAGCGAAGCCATTGGCACGATTGAAGAGCTGGTCAAGGCTATTACGCCCCCTCGTTCCAAGATGACGGCGCAGAAGTTCAAGGGCGAGCTGCAAAAGCTTTTCGACACGATCATGGATCGCATCACCGCAACCGATGCCGATGCCGAGGTCAAGCAACGGGGTATTCACGCTTTGGGCGTCCTGTTGTCGAGAACGTCTGGCGCGGATGGTGCTGGCTTGATTGCTGCCGACAAGCGTCAAGCCGCCCTCGCCGCTCTGCTCGATCGTCTCAAGAACGAGACCACTCGACTTGCAGCCGTCAGAGCCGTCGATAACGTCGCCGCCTTTAGCACCAGCAGCGGGCAACTCGAGACGGCTTGGATTCGCGAGGTGGCTCTGGAGCTCGCCGGCCAACTGCGTAAGGCGAACCGATCTTTGCGCGGCTCTAGCATCCAGGCTCTGAAGCACTTGATCGTGTCTCCCACGTCCAAGGGTCAGCTTGATGCAAACACCATCCAGGGCCTGGTCTCGGCACTGGTTCCTGTAATCAGCAATCACGATACCCACCTCCTGGCCCCCGCACTGCTTATTCTCGCAACTCTGGTCGAGGAGAACGCAGGCCTCGTTGTGAACCAATCCATGGTCGCAACTATCTGCACTCTTCTCAAGTCGAGTTACGCAAGCATCGTTCTGGATCAAATCTTGATCCTCGTCACCAAGGTTGGTGAGAGTGGCTCTGGCCAAGGTCTCATGCAGGGTATTCTCAAAGAAGTTAGTATCGAAGGAGACCCGGTCGTTGTTGGCAAGGTCATTGGTGCTCTTCTCGTAGCCAGCGGAAGCTCAGCTGGTGTCACGATTGATAGCTTCATTTCCGAGCTTCAGAGCAGCACGCAGAAGAGGGATGACGCTAGAATCAGTCTTGCCTTGGCAGTGCTTGGTGAAGCCGGTCTGCGACTAGGACCCAACTCTCCTCTCAAGCCGGATCTGTTCCTGAAGCAGTTCCATGAAGAGCCCGACAAGGTCTCTATCTCCGCCGCGGTAGCTCTTGGCCGTGCTGGTTCGGGCAATGTGTCCCAGTACCTCCCGGTCATCTTGGACACCATGCAGAAGGGTGGCAACACGCAGTACTTGCTGATTCAATCGATCAAGGAGATCTTGCAGCAAGTCACCGTTCTGTCCGCCGAGGTTTCCAAGTTCGCCGCGCCAATTTGGCAGCATCTGCTTTCGGCGTCTACTATCCCCGACAACCGCGTCGTCTGCGCGGAGTGTGTTGGCCGCTTGACCATTATTGATACCCAGACATTCATGCCCCAGCTCCAGGTAAGCGCCCAAGGTCACCTCTTGTAGCAATCTGCTAACAGCTTGTAGTCCCTTCTCAGAGATCAGAACCCCGACATCCGTGGCATGGCCGTGCAGGCTGTTCGATACACGCTGCCTGACAGTGACGACGCTTTCGACGCTATGCTCAAGAACGTCCTCGTTGACATGCTTCTCGTCATGCTTCAAGACACGGAGATGGACAACCGTCGCTTGGCCATGTCGACGTTGAACTCGGCAGCCCACAACAAGCCCGATCTCATTCTGCCCCACTTGGGCGAGCTGATGCCGTATGTGTTGTCCGAGTCGGTCATTAAGCCGCACTTGATTCGTGAGGTGATGATGGGTCCCTTCAAACATATGGTGGATGATGGCCTGGAAGTCCGCAAGGTATGTATTTCGTGCTTCTCATTGGATTACGCTAACTCGCTTTGCAGAGTGCCTACGAGACGTTGTACGCCCTCATGGAGACGGCATTCTCACGGATCAACAACATTGACTTCTACGACCGTGTTGTCGCTGGTCTTAAGGACGACAATGACATTCGCAGTCTGTGCAACCTGATGGTTTCCAAGCTCATCGTGCTTGACCCCGATGAGACGGCTCGTCGCCTCGATACGATTGCCGAGGCATACCGGGCGATCCTGTCGACCAAGTTGAAGGATGGTGCCGTCAAGCAGGACGTGGAGAAGCAAGAGGAGGCCAACAAGAGCGTCCTGCGTGTGACCCTCCTGCTCGGAGACAGGCACAAGAACAACAAGGCGGGCTCAGGCAATGCTGTGGCCAACGCCAACGCTGGAGGCGGAAGCCAGGTGTGGAATGCTTACTGGGAGTGGGTGAACAAGGAGTTCCAAGCGTCGCTTAGAAGTCTGCGCGAGGAAAGCAAGGAAGCCCGCGTGTTGTAAGCAGGGGATCTTTTGGCCGGGCTGAATACCTTCTGGCGTTAGTGAACATGGAGTAGCAGGAACTAGAACAAAGCATTACTCTATGATCGGGACTCGAGTTATCGGGAAACTATTCGTGCTGCTTCGTGAGAAAGCCATGAGCGACTGAAAAGATATCCGCGGTAACCCACCCATACCGTAAGGGGAAGTCACTAATAACCGAGACAAATCGGCGAGATGTTGTGCAGCGTAACAAGCTGTGATCCGCGACATTCCGATAAGCCCCACGCAGGGCACCGTCATATTACACAAGTAAGGCTGATCGGGACAGATTTACTGTCTTCAATGGTGGCGTGGGTGCGCGATTCCTGTTGGGTGATGGTGTAAGCCACGGGCTTGGCGGGAAGTCATGCTTGAGCGTTATGCTGGGGCCGGCTTACGTCCATCTTCACGCGCGAGGGTTATGGTACTCGCAGGATGGAAAACTTATAAGACGAGCTGCTTCTAGGCAAATGGTTTGAATTTAGAATAGTAAGATATTTCAATTCGGTATTTTCTTTACCTTAATTGAGTGCAGCTCCTTACACAACAAATCTGAACTACTGAACGAACGACACCAAGGCAATCATCATTACTACACAATTTCAACTTACACCATCACCATCCTTCACAACACCACAACCACCAACAAAAAATCAGCCATGGCAACCTCCCGCGCCTGGACTTTCACAGCCCGCGGCGCCCCCCGCTCCGTCCTCTCCCTCACACCGCGCCCGGTTCCCACGCTCCCGCCCGCAGCCGCCGTCGTCTCAAAGTCCAAAGACAGCAGCGAGTGGCTCCTGATCAAGGTAGCCTACGCGGCTCTCAACCCAGGCGGGCACTTTTTTATGAGCATGATCCCCGCGGCCGCGAGGACGAAGACGGCCGTGCCGGAGATGGACCTGAGCGGCGTCGTGGCCGATGTCTGGACCCCTTCTGCTTCTTCATCTGCGGCGAAAGCGAGATTTCGTAAGGGAGACCGCGTCGCTGCGTTCATCCCCGTCTCGTTCGGTTGGGCCACGGGGACGGGCGCGCTGGCGGAGCACGTCGTCCTGCCCGCCAAGTACGCCGTCGCGGTGCCGCGGGGCGTGGGGCTGAAGGGCGCCGGGAGCGTGTTGACGGCGGGGTGCACCGCGCTCACCACGGTACGGGCCGCGGGGCTGAAGAGGGGCGGCAGAGTGCTGGTCAACGGGGCCAGCGGCGGGGTGGGGAGTTTGGCGGTGCAGATGGCGAGAGACGCCGTCGGGCCGGGGGGTGTTGTGGTTGCGGTGTGTTCGGGGAGGAATGCCGAGATGGTCAGGGGGTTGGGGGCGGACGAGGTTGTGGATTACACCGCCTCCGGCAGGGTTTCTGATGTGTTGAGGGAGAGGTTCGGCGGGGAGAAGAGGTTTGACGGGGTTGTCGATTGTATCGGGGTGCAGGATGTGTACGCTTCCTGCGCGGCGTATGTGGTGCCCGGGGGCGTGTATGCGGCAGTTGGGATCAAGCCCGCGGCGCAGACGTGGGGGAGCTTTTTCAAGGCTGTGTGGACGATGCAGATGAATGCTGTGTGGCCTTTGGAGGGGTGGCTTGGGGGCGTGGGAAGGGTTTGGAAGGGGACGACGATGATGGATCCTGGGAGGACGTTGATGGAGGATGTTGTTGGTATGTTGGCGGATGGGAGGGTGAAGGCTGTGTTTGATAGGGAGGTTGCAATGGAGAACGTTGTGGAGGGATATGATGTTGTCGAGAGCGGAAGGGCTAGGGGGAAGGTTGTTGTCAAGGTTGGAGAGGAGTGAGCAGTTGTCAAGGATGGATGTGTTCGATGATTGTTTAGACGTATTACACATTGTTTATATCTGATCAGTTGGTCAACTTACTAGCTTGAATGAGAACCACTCTACCAAGCTCATTACCCCTTTTCTATGCACGCCCGCCACTCCTAGTACATTTCGAAGAAGCCTGTCAATCTCTGCCGCATGAGACATCGGTTTGAAGAGGATGTGGAATGAATCTGAGTGGTGAATCAGTGTGTTTAAATCGAATCAGCGGCTTCTTTCCCACGTGGCATCTTTTCCAACCTTGTCTTCCTCTGCCAGCGTCCCTCTGTGAAAGTAACCAAAGATGTCCTGGTCCGCCTCGGCATCAACACACCAGCCCCTGGTTATGTCTATAATCAAAAGCCACGACGACAGCCTTCGCGTACGCGAGCGCTGCGGCAAGGACCTGAAAGCAATTAGCATCTTTCCCCTCCAACTTACACACACTCCTTTCACATTCAAGGCTTACCATTACATGCATAATCTGATGACTGGCCCCAAACAGATCAAACGTCCTCGGGAACCACAACTCGGGAAACTGCCACTATCAGCGACCACACTCACTTTGTCAGGTGCAGGAAACGAATTCTAACCTTGGCCCAGTATACCAAGACCGCCAACGCATTACACCCAGCCGTCGCCAGTATCCACGGGCCACCGACCCGCGCCCACTCTACACCAGCCCCAAACACCAAAGCACCATGCCCGATCGGCAACACAAACGCCGCAGCGCCAAACGTGGCAAACAGCGCGGCGCGGTGGTGACCCAGATGCACGGCGCCCAGGTTCGGCCTCGTCGTCGCCGCGGCGCACAGAGCGGCAAGCGTGCCCGTCAGCAGGACGTAGGCATCGCGAGTGCGCGGCGAGCAGGGGAAGGTGTAGTGTGCCAGCGGCGCCGTGGAGCTCCACATCAGAGCCAGCACGCCGTGAAAGTCCGCTTTTATGCCGGCAAGGTAGTAGGGTTCGCTGTGAGACATGAAGGTATGGAAGCTTGAAGGGGAGATGTGTTCGTGTTAGTAATGTGTGGTTAACTGTCAGGTGGACATGTGAGTCAGTCACTGGAAGGCTTTTACATACGCAGTTGAGAGAACGAAACAGACTGTAACACCTGATGCATAGATACTGCAGACAACGATATCTGAGGTGGAGGCGGTTGTCCATCTCGGGGAAATGGGATTGCCGAAGATGAGGAATGGAAGGGATATGAAGAGGATCGCCCCGATTATGTGTGAGTAGATGTTGACTGTCCGTTGGTTTAGTCTCAAAGTTGTCACTTGTTGTTGATCCCCGGGTTTTCTTACTCGTTTCATTGTGAACATATGTCCAGCTATGAAAGCACTCCCAGACTGAGAAGCATGCTGTTCTATGGTGGATGGTTAGTATCGCTCGAAGTTCCGGTCATGATACACACGTCAACTTACCGATAACCCGTCTTGATGTGTTCACTCCCACATCTCATACATCGTTAGCTGTCGCTTAAAGGAATGAGACAAACTCATCCTGAACTCACTGCTGCCATTCCGCTAGACAACTTGTCAGCAACTATACGCCCAAATCTCGTTGAGCAACAAACTCACGAAGCTCTTCCCATCTGAGCAGCGCGCTCACTTTCGTCTGCTTCTCCAGTGCCTCGGCCTGGCCGCCCCAACTCCGTAACCGCCTGCCGGCGCTCTCTCCACCAAAAGCCTTCTGCAGCCTCCGTCTCAAGGCAGATGTCGAAAGAAGGGCCGCCATTTCAGTTTGAGGGAGAGTTCTGCCCGTCAAAGTCGCCCAGGTCGACGTCCTTCAATCGTCCCTTACCCTGTCGACGAGAACGCAACGCAGCAATTGCGCAAAGTAATCGATCCGCAACTCACAGACGACCTAAAAGTCATCAACGGGATCCGAAGCGCTCAATTGTTTGCAAATATCTTGTGTCCATCAAGCGTAAATGACTATCGCGTCGACAAACATACTGCGCAACCAGAAATAAGAAGTCCCAACATGAACGACGTTCGTCACATTTACTCCTCACCTCAAAACCCAACAATCCCCGTGCTGTTTCCTCCATGTTCCCCCCTGCCGCCGCAGTCGCCGAACCAAATCCACAAACACGAAACCCGCCCCGGAAGCGCGCCGATCCGGTGTGTGTGTGGTCCCGCAGCATCGTCGCATCCGACCACCCGCTAAAAAATTGCGACGACGCTGATGCAGGCCCATGAATAATGCGCATGGCAGAACCAAGCGTGCTAAAAAAGAGAAATCAAATAGAAGAAGTCGGTTGGACAGAGCCTAAAATGCGCTAGTTGAGTTGGGTTGGGGCCAGCAGGTGGTCACTTGACGGAAGGGTGATGCGTGCAGGGAGGGACCCTGAGTTTTTGGAGAGACCGTTGTTTCTGAGGTTCAAGTCGATGTCGAAACGTTGCGGTGTGTAATGCTAAGACTTATGGGGATGTGTTGTTTGCTCAATAGCTTGTGTCATCCGCCTGGTGGGTTGGGTGATTTCTGAGGTCCGCCTTACGGATCGTGGAATTCCGAGAGGAGCATTTGAAAACAGCAATCGAATTAATACATCAGCCCTTCCTTGAGGAACTTGTATTGAAGCCGATAATACTACAGAGCGTTCATCTTCTTGGCCAGTATTACAGCCCAAGGTGAGCCAGCATAAGCAGAAATGCTCACCACGTACACTCTATAAAAGGAACGCTTCGTACCCAATCAGAATATCCGAAAGCAAATGACATCTTCCTACCATTCCATGATATCCTCACGAGGCCCGTTCCCTTTCGGAGCACACTTCTTCAACCATGTGAGGCCTGGAAGATTTCCCATGGCTTCTTATACTTTGAAATAAAAGAGTATTCAAGACGTATAGAACAGCAGCTTGGGACGCCCAAGGATGAGGCAAAGAGTCTGTCCTTTGCTGTTCCCCACTATCTCTGTGATTCAACTTAACCGGCGTTGACGATCGGGACAAGAAGATTTCTTCTGGCAAACACTGTTCTTCGAGAGCCTTGTAAATGTGTCATTAATGCCGAACAAGACATGCGGAAACACTGACTATTTTGTTGAACCAGACAGATGGGTCTGGGTTGTTGTGACGATGTAGCCAAATCCCCATCCGTCTTCCCCCATCCTCATGTATTAAAGGACCTTTAGTTGCTGCCATATGATTAAAGAAAACTTCACAAGAGATCTGTTCACCTGTTCCCAAACTTACAACTCTGACACAACTGATGAGACTTGCAGACAAGAAGCGGTTGCAGTCTACAGCATGCCATTTCTTAAGAGCATAGAAGGCGGTCTTCGCGAGGCCTGTCATTGTCCACCGTCTATTCCTCTACAATATTCCATGCAGGAATACATTCAAAATGCAGAGTCAAGAAAACAGACCTCTTGGTAACAACAGTAGCTATGGGCTCTTCTCAGACACCAACAACAGCCTCAAAGGTCTAAATGCTGTGTTCAAAGAAGCATATTCAAAAGTCGAGCTCAATTTTCTGTGCCCGTAAAAGAAAGACACACAGCGTCAATGACATCCCAAGCCCTATCTTTAACTATTTATGTATAAGTATTCACCATAAGTCCCGCAGTCAAGCCAAGGCACGTATCTATTCGTGCCAGTCTTTACAGACCCAAGCAATCACCTCCACCTGTCACTGGAGGCTTCAAAGAAGAGCCTCAGAGTCAAGATCAAGTGCCCTCTCGCAAGGCTCGTCAGAAAGAAGTTCATGCGAACAAATCGTCATCCCTCTTAGTCGCCCACATCCACCACATATACTCAGGGAATACACAGCGAACAGCTCCTCGCTGTTTGACTTATGCACTACTACAAAAGCAATTAAAAGGCAAACTACTTGGCAGCAAGAAAACCACTACAATTCATAAGGCCCAAAGACAATCACGCCCCGCAAGATTTCGTCGTCAAGAGGCCCAAATCTGCCGCAAACTCCTGCGTTTTAAAGGCGTGTGTATCACTGATCAGAGACTACATGAATAGAAGGATAAAAGTGCTAGTCCCAGGCAGATGCTATTTTCTAATCTAATCTATGGCAATTGCCCAGAGATTCCTCTCTATCAACCAACCCTCTGAGCATTGACAGGATTCATCAGGCCGGACTACCACCCCATTACTCACAATTCACATGGACACCATCCGTGCAACTCTCTATTGTCTTACGCTGCTGTCCAGAGAGTATTGCCCTAGAGCATTTGCAGTACTCGCGTGATATGCCTATCACACCCCAAGCCAGCGCTTATACGTCATAACCGTCATGCAGCCAGCTATCAGAAGCACGTAGAATGCAGTGTTAATCACCTACCTGGGTTAATGCCAAGACATCGTCACTACTCCAGTGATGATCAAGTCCGCCACGAGACCACCTTACCTGGCAATACTCCCAAACCAAAGGCGGATATCGATCACGTCCCGGCCAGACTCGCCTGGTCTTTGACGTCTAGTTTCAGAGGCATCCTTCTCTGTGTAACCTGGGCGCTGAGCATTTCAAATACCAGGGTACGGCACCCTTTTCTGTGCCCCCTAAAACCCATTTGCGGGAGACAACAGACAATGATAGGCGACCAAAAGCGGCCAGCCCCTTGGACATAAGCAATGGGAATACCAGGGCTTGCCCACGGCAACGAAAACATCCAAAACAAGGGGGACGCCGCGCCGTTGAGATTCCATGGCAGTGGTACACTTCTGCTTCCGGTAGGGCCCTGAAAGACGTTCAGGATCTTGATATCGACGCCTCCGTTCGGCTTGGCAAGCCTCTCGTGTAAGAGGCTCAGGGTTGACTGCAATACGCAACTTGTAACGGTTGCAGATCAGATATGTCAAGCCACCAACAGCCATAGACAGCTGGGCAGCAGTCTAGAAGACGACCTCGTGGACCATCGTTTGACTGCTGAGCGTAGGCGTTTGCCAGATATGGAAGAGCTCGCCCCTAGGCGCATGGCCAACGGCATTACCGGAGCAGTGACGACGCCCCCAGACTTCTGGAACAGCACCATAAGCCATTGTAACGCTCGACTTCGTCGTCCAGCCCTGTAAGGTGGTCAGCAGCGTGAGCGGGAAAACCTCACCCGCTGACACAAAGCAGGGGTCGGCCGCCGCGAAGGGATCTCAGCCCGGATGCGTGATGAGACAAAGAAATACTCTTATCAGATCCTTATATCATCTCGAGCAACGCTGACCGGCTCTGACTATCAACAACTCGGAAGATGCCCCGGGTCTAGCAACGCCCTGAAGACATTTCCCTGATCTCAAGGCGGCCGCCGACCGCCTCTTCATCTGAGAATCGGCTCGACGGGACCCAGGCCGGGCTCAGACCGTGTATTGTGGATTCGAGCGCTGCCGAAGTCGCCCGCCTGACTCGCCATCGGGCCGGGCCAGTTGGCGAGCGACTCAAGAGGCCGGAAGCAGAGAGGGGACGCCAACACCGGGTTTCTGGGATTTTGATTAATGACGAGAGAGGGTTGCTTACGTGCAGGGTTTGTTGCTCCATGCGCAGAGGTTACCTGTGGAGCGGGGAGGTAATTAACTCGTCCAAGGAGACGAGACTGTAACCTCAAAACCTCGCGATCATCCTTCGGTTGGGGGTGGAGATGTCACTGTCCACCCGCAAAAATGCCCCCAAGACCCTCTCTCGCGGGAGGATCAATTTCAGGCACGAGGCGAGGGGTGGACTTTGCGTAACGGAACCTTGCCGATCCATTCTTCCGCGGCTGAAGCTGTGTTCCGTTGAGTCGGAGGAGAAGTCTTTGGTCGACATTCTAGAGCTGTAGTGGGCGACACAGACCGAATACCTGGAATGGCGTTTGGTGAAGGTTCCTCAATGATGTGCAACGCGCCCCCAGCTCCTGTCTCAGACATGGCAGCTGCTAGTGCGACCAGCTGCTGTGGAATCATCCAGGATGAAATGCCCGTTTGGGTGATTTCCGTCTTCTAAAATCTCAAGTGTAGGAAATGAACCGGTGGTATGATGGGAAAGAGGCG